CTGGTAAAATTTATGTGTAACAAGATTTATTAACAATTATGAACAGAAAATTAGAGATAGCGAAAGAATAATAGGTTTGACAAACAGTATTAGGTAAGCTACGCCACGTGTACCGGATATCACGCCACTTGTACCGGAAGTACGTAGCACGAGAAGTCGTTAAAGCAAAAGAAAAGTTGTAATGAACTCTGTAGGAGAAACGATAGAATTAATGAAACGAAGAGTACAAAAATGAGAGGTCAGAAAGTATATAGAGATGATCAGATTAGAGATAAAGGTTATGAGAGGTCGTTAATGAGAGAGAGTATAAAGAGATGATCAGTCAGAAAGACACAATTACAAGGATGGTCTAGATGAGAAAAAGCGAGAGTGAGATGAGATGGAGCGGTTAGAGATGAGAAAGAAGCGAGATGAAGACTATGAGATGATTCACAATTTTCAGAGATTTGTAAATGTACGACCGCACTGGTTAACTTCTTAAATGATTCTGCCTGGACCACGCCACTTTTCGGTTCGATTAGAGGAACAGAGCGGAAGTGGAAAAAGTACGATACACCAATTAGCGAGTTCCACGCTAGGAAGARATGACAAACAATCAATAGGAAAGTAACACGCAGAGGATGACGACACAGGGGACCAATGACCTATTGAAACGTCAAGTGGCGTGATCCCTTGATCAATAAAAACAATGGGTATGTCTTCTTTTCAGCGACAACAGACGGCGTCTTAATCATGCTAGCCGAGAGGTGCTGCTATCTAGTCTGAGGTGCGCAATTTTCGAACATTCTCCACCCAAATTCTCGAGCAAGATTCGAGAATTTGTCATGACGAGATGTGCTGAACTGCTGAGAAAATTATGATTCCTTGTGCGGTTGAAGAGGCAATGGTGCSAGCTTGACGATAGGTCTAGTGATAGTGCTGGTGGCGGTCTTCAGCGTGACAACCCTGCAGAGACCGTCCTTTCCTGGGTGTAGTTGTATCACTCTGGCAAGAGGCCATTTCGACGGCGGAAGTCGCTCATCGGTGATGAGTACAAGAGACCCTTCCCTGATATCGTTCTGCGATGTCTGCCATTTGGATGYGGTCTGATGYGCTTGCAGGCATTCCGTCGACCACCTTCTCCAAAATTGCTGGAAGCGCTCTTGAATCCGCTGGAAATGAGATAACCTGGAATTTGAGATGTCTATTAGAGAAGGCTGGGGGATATAGTTGTTAATGCTTCCCTTCTGATGAAATGCCCTAGTGTTAATGCTCTGATTTCATCAGGGTCCTCCGAGAGAGAGCTGAGAGGTCTAGAGTTGAGAACCGCCTTAACTTGAGCTAAGAACGTGAAGAAGTCTTCGAACGTTAGCAACGTATCCGAGATGGTTCGTTTGAGATGATACTTGATTGATTTCACCGCCGCCTCCCATTTTCCACCCATATGTGGTGCTGCTGGAGG